ACAGTGAGTTATGCGGATTATTTACGAACAATGTCTATCAATATAAATTGACATTTAAACTATAATAAAAAATAGAATTAGTTTTTAAAAATAATTATTCAATTATTCATATTTAAAAATTATATGATAGAAATTCATCTATTATTTATCTACTATCATATTTCAATAAGACAATCAAGTTTTTCATTATACTATAAAAATATTAAACTAACAATCCTTAACCTGCAACTTATATTTTCTTATATATTTTTCAATAGTTTAACAGAATAAATTAACAATATGAATTTATTTTTCAATTTTTTTAATAATTTGATATTTTTTTAAATAAATATTCAAGAAAACTGTGAAATTTAAAAATTAGAATGATTAATAAAATAAAATATATTGTGTTAATTCCGTGAACTTTATTTATTAGATAAATTATTCATGATTGAAATTACAACTCTATTATACGACATATACGACAAATAATATACACAAATCATATTTGAATTTGAAAAATTTAATCAAATAAGAGAATAAAAGCACGTAAATCATTTATCGATGTCTATTTGTCGATGTCGTAACTGAACAATTAAAAATTGATGTAATACTTTTAGTATATTTTTGATATTTAAGAAAAAAGAAAAATATTAATATTATATTTATTTGATATTGCATAAAAATTATTTATATACATATATATATACATTTCGCCAGGCTTGGCATTAATTTAAGATATTTTAAGCTTTTGAGATATCATAATCTATAAAGAAATATATTTTCAACCAATTTATCCGTTAAACATTTTGAATATGTCTATCGCTGCGATATATTTGTAGAAATAATAGATAAGTTACAATTATATGTAAATACACATAAGAGAAATTATATGTATTATAGTAATAATTATAGTATATTATTTTAGAATTAAAATTATAGTGATAATCTTTTTCGAAAATTAAAAGTAATAATTATATTGGAAAAAATTGTTTTTACAATGTTTAAAATATTGATTTCTATAATAATAATAAATCCAAAAATCATTAAAATTGATAAGAAAATACTTTTTTTATAATTATTTTATTTTTGTGTATTATTTTTTTAATTACTCACAATATTATGCTATTAATATTTGAATAACTTATCACAATGATGGATTTCATATTTTTTATTTTATTTGAAAACATGAAAATGTTTTTGGCACAATTAATATTATATTTTATTGAGATAGAAGTATAATTATATATTTTGAATCATAGAAATATAATTACATAATCTAATTTATTTTCATGACATCATTTTAATACAATTATATGTGAATCATATTTATATTATATATTTATGTTATATTATTATATTATTTTATTAGATATTATATTTTAATATATTATTATACATATTTAGATATTATAAATTAATAACTCCAGTATTAAAATTTCGTTAGTGAATTTTCAAACAAATATATTATATTCAGTATTTATTATTATTATAATTTATTATTATATTTCTATTATTTTAATTTGTTAAGCTATAAAAAATTTAAGCATTTGTTAAATATTAATCATATTACAAATTCTACTCATACTTCACTATTCATATATGAATCATTGAGAATCAATGGAAAAATTTATTTATTATTGTTGCATATATTATTAACACGTGGTTTGTACATATTATATATGACTCTACTTTTGTATCAACTATTCCCGATTTAATGTATAAACTACGAAGTTCAATTTAATCACACGGTTATTATATAAATAATTATAAGTTAATTAACATATAATTTCTTGCTTTAGCTCTCTACAATTGCCATATTTCCTGATCATTTATTTTGTGGTGAAATCTTTGCGATAATATTACTCAACTGATATATGTATGAACTTTAATATTATATTATGAATTCTTTTTTTTATCTTTTTTAGAAATATGTTTTTACTTTTGAATATATATACTTCGATTTAAAAAACTTAATTAATTTGTTTACAATCAGTTTTTGATAATTTAGAATTAAATGTTTGGTATCATAAATAAAATAGAGAAAATTAATATTTTAGTAGATTTAATAATGTTCTAATTCAAGATTAAATGAAAAACAGTTAGAAAACAAAATAAAAAATAATTTATTATATAAACTTAAAAAAATTATAAAATTGATTTTTTTATTAAAATATTTTTATTTAATAGGATTAAGTCATTTGAAAATTCTTTGAAATTCAGAAAATTTCAAATTCTGAAACTTTTTGTTATTTTTATGATTCAGAAGTATTTTTATGATTTAAAATCTCAAAATTCTTATAGAATAACATACATAAATAATTTACAAAAATGTTGTTATCATATAAATTTATTCTCATTTATTTAATAATAATTTAATTAAGTTTGTATTTAGAATAATTTTAATTTTTTGAAAGTTAAAAAAATGATTATTATTGATTGATTACAAACTTAAACTTTAAGAATTCTAAAAATCAAAATTTATTAAAATTTTAATTTTTGATAAATATTATAAATAAGTTCTATTAGAAAAAAAAAATGAACATTGAATATTCCAAAGTTTGAATTTTTAAGAATTTCAAGATCTTGATTGATTTGAGTTTCATGAAAAATTAAATTTCAATTATTTTTAATTTTTGAATATTAAAATATAAATATTTATATATATTTTATTATATATATATATATTTTTATAAATATTAAAAAATTCATGTTTTTTTAACATCACAAAAGTTTCTTATATATTTTTCAAAATCAAAAAATTTATTATAAGAAAAAAGTTTATGATTGGATAAAGATAAAATCTAATTTTTTTCTTTCTTTTTTCATGATAATTATTTTAATTTTCTGTGATATCCATAATTATAGAAAGTATATTAATATTATTTAAATATATTAAATATATATTATTTAAATACAAAAATTAATATTTGATTCAATATTTTTATATTTAAAAAAATCATAAGAAATCTGAATCGAAAGGATAAAAATCGTTACGTTATTCATTAATTACATACTTGTTTGCAGTAATAAAACTTATTAATGAAGTTAAGAATAGTATTGGAAAAAACCAAGGAAGCCGGAGAACAGATGTTCGATCATGTTTTCATGGGAAATTATATTGCTTGATCAATATCTTACATTGAACTACGAGTGACCTTAGCTTAATCGGCTTGTTGAAGAAAACATGTGAACTACAATCAACAAATTTGTCTTTTTATCTCAAATGTGAAATAAAAAAACTGAAATTTCCATTAATAAGAACTTGAAATATAAATAAATTATATAAAAATTAATATAATAATTATAAAAAGTTTTTGAAGACTTGATGAAAATTTTTAAAGAAATATATTAAAAAACAAAACATGTGAAGACATTTTACTATCAGAAATAAGAAAAAATTTAATTCAAATATATTTGATGATTAAAAATTAATAATATTGCAAAAATTACAAACAAATAAAGCCCATTTAATACAGATAATTGAAAAAAGTTTAAATAATTTAATTACTAATTCCTAATGATTTATCACAAATAATAAAGAAAATAAAAATAAAGAAAACCTTATTAAATATTAAAAAGAAGAATATTAAAATTGTACATTGAATTTATATCTTTTCATAATTTAAAATGCAATTTTAAAAGAATATTCTTCTTTTTTTTAGATTTATGAAAAAAATTTTTGTTCTTTTTCTTGTATATATTATTAGAGAAATATGTAAAACATTTTTAATCTTTCTTTCTTTTTTATGAAAATTGTAAAAATAAAAATGAATTTATAATTATTTACAGTATATGTAATATTCACTGTATATTATATATTATTATATATTATATATGTAAATTATAAATTTTATTAATTATTATAAATTATAAATTTTTTAATTTTTAAAAATTTTAATTATTAATAATTATACATATTTTTTTTAAAAATAAGAAGTTGAGCATTATATGCAAATCAACAATATATATGTTTTATTATAATATTTCCATCGTTAAAAATATATTTATGAAATTTTTGTAATGAAATAAGAGGCTAAAAAATTTTTTATTTAGACTTTGTGTTTTAAAATAACAAACAACATTTGTATAACACATGATAATTTTGACAACGATTCTTCTATAAATTTTAAATATTTATTATATCATTAATATACATTGTAATAACTTATAATTAACACAATGAAATTGTATAATTTTGAAAATTTTAATTAATTATTATATTATATTATTATTATCTATTTCTAAAAATATTATCCGTTTTATTCATAATCAAACAATAATAAGTTATAATTTCCTTATTTTCTAATAAAAAATTTCCTAATTTTTATAATAAAAAAATATGTTAATGATTCTATATTGAATTTGACACAACATTATTTTATAACGTATTATTTGGAAAATATGTAGTATCTAATAACATACTAACTTCTTTAATAAAAATTCTTATAATTTAAAAAATTTTTTAACAATTAATAATAATTTTCTATATAATAAAATTAAATGTTCAATATATGATTACATGATATTTTAAAATTTGCTTCTTGATATAGTCATATGTAAAAGATTGATTCTTCTTTAATAAATTAAATTATTTGTTAAATTATTTTTATAAATAAAAATATATATTTTATAATTATATTTAATATATTTATATTTATTATATTTTAATATATATATATATTTAAAATAAAACATAATATCAATTTACATAATAAATGAATATAAAAATAATAATAAAATATAATATAATAATAAAATATATTATTATTTATCAAATTATACTTAATTATCAAATATATCATAAATGTTATTAATATATATTTATTTATCAAATTATATTATTATTTGATAAATAAAATTTATTTTACTAATTTTTTATTAGAATTAAAAATTGTATGTTTACACATAATAGATTAAGTTTCATTTGGATTTACAGTGAAAATGTTAATTATAGTTGATCAATGCAATTTTTACAATTAATATTACATATTTTGAGATATTTACAAGATATTTTTGATTATATTTACAGATGGAAATGCATAAAAATCCCAATGCAAAAAGAAATTCTTTGCGTGGCGATGTGATGACACTAAAAGAACCTCACAGGTGAGTAAATAATATTTGTTTTATAATAATGTGTAACAATAATTAATCTAATTTTATTCAAATATCTAATCATCTAGAATGTCATATCTTTTAAATAGATAAATGTCAACATTTAAATATGTCAACATAAATGTCAACATCTTTTAAATAAATCATGTTACAAAAATAATGTAATATTGAATTCTTTATATATATTTATAAAACCATATATCTGCAGTTTATACTTTTCAACACGAATCAGTTTGATAATTTATTATATTGTATTTTTACGTAATCACAGATTGTTCTATAATATCACTATAATTACATAAAAAATTAGTTTGTTTATTTATATACTCATTTAATGTGACCCGATTTTTTTTTACTATGAAATTATTCAAAATATATATAGTATATTTTTATAAAAAATTAATATTATTATTTTTAATTATTATTCTTTATTTTTATTTATTTATCTTTTAATATATAATATTATATATTATATTAATATATATTAAATTATATTATATTATATTATATTATATATATTATATTATATTATATATATTATATTATATTATATATATTATATTATATTATATATATTATATTATATTATATATTATACAATATTATATATTGTATTAATATATTATAAATTTTTATTCCTATTCTGATT